TAATGATTGTGCCATTGGGCTACAATGGCACAATCATTAGAATGGTGCTCTTCTTTCTGCCGATAAGGAAGAGCTATACATACACTCCACCATCTTAGTGATCTTGAGTAAATGTTGTTTACATAGGCACGTGTCTTTTTGTTTCCTACTGTTTTTGGTTCATATGCAACTCTCAAGAAGTTTTTCCTAGTAGTATTGGCCTTGACGTGAATCTTTTATAGCCGTCAATTTCAATCTGAAATCAGTATATGACTATTAATGAGAAAATTGCCTTAGACCGAATTTTCGATATTCATCGCACAATAATCAAATATTTTCAAAATATTTTTTTTTTGTTTATATGCGCTTACAAATGTTATATCATATTATATACGTATGTATTTATTATAACTTATATCACTTGTAGTGCAAAGGTATATAAAGTTTGTGCGGATGTACGCAACACCCAGAAGTAATTGAGATGTACGTGCCTTTTTTTACATCGAGCTAAGCTTGTCTGTCCCTCTGTCTTAGACTTTTGTGTTCAACCCACAGTCTGTAATTTTTGAGATATCCTGATGAAAATTAGTGAACTAAAGTGTTTCGACTTAGGAAGTAATGCTATGGAAAATAGTTTGAATCGGACGACTTTTTTGACCGCTTACCACCTTAATTTGAAAAGTCGATGTGGATGATTGCAGGCTGACGTAGAGTATTTCATGGTGGATTGTGCCGCTACTTTAGTGTTTCACTTGTTTGAAGTATGAAACGTTTCCCACATAATCGAAAGTGACAACGTTTACGCCGGTGTTTTAGTTGATCCGAAATAATATGTCTAGCGGGCCTTGTGTGAATACTTCTAATGGGCAATAACCCACAATTTCTTTTCTATTGTGAGCGGATCATGCGTCTTTTCTAATAAACTTTTATCTGCCCTTCGCATTCGTATGTCAATATACGGAGTTTTATGACAATATTCGCCAAGTCGTAAGTATTTATAAATATTGTAAGCTATACAAAGATGTCAACAGTCTTACCAGTTACTATTAATCGATCGAAATATTGTTCTTAGTAAATTTTTAATTCTTTCTAGGAAATTTTTGAAGCGTATAAAAGGCCGCAAAAGATGCTTTTTTATGTATTATGGAACTTTGGAAGACAGACGGTATCCTTTGTTTCACTATAACATTAAGCGGTACATATTAAGCTTCAGGCCTACATCTACTATAGATTGCAAAAGGTGGTTTTTATCTGTAGCAGCTATAGTTTGTGGATAGTAGTGGGTCATGCATATTATGTCCCAACACAGTATTTCACTTCTCGCCACCATAGGTATTTTAACGAAAGGCTATATATCGCTAGAAAACAAAGCGAACTGAAAATTTTGTCTCGATGAAGACCAGCAAATAGATGTGGGATCAAAGTCTAGGATTCAAAACTAAAATTAAGCACTACACTAGCAACCAAAACTGCCAGCTTTTCTTTTTTTCAAGTTAGTGTTTCGTCCAGACGCTCTAATAAAAGATATTTCAAGTCCCTTTCACTTTAAGATTTGAATTTTTCACAATTTCTGATGTCGTGAATACGTCTACAGATCAATGCTAAGTGATTTGGCATTAAACTCTCAAGCCTTCTGAAAGCACACGGAAGAACGTATATCAAAAGATACTAAGATGCTCTACCACTACTTTCTTCGACTTGTCCTTGTACTATGAGCCGTAGAAAATGATAGTTTTGGCTCCGTCACATTTATTTGACTTTAATATATTTTGAACAAACGAAATGATAAAGTTAGTATGCCGTCCGATAAGAAGTCTAAGCGGGATGTCACCATGAGATTAAGTTTGACATGAGGGTGTTTTCTAATGCTTATGTTTGTCGCAAGCACATATATAAATGTATGTAAGTATGTAAGTATGTGTGACCGTAAAGAGGTATACGCTGGACTTTATAATTTTGTCGTTAAGCGCCTGTGAGACGGCGCTTCAATCTAGACAATTGCTTTAATCGAAAGTACAAATACTACTAGCAACTAGGGAAAGTTGTGTCGCATAATTATCTTTGATTATTTTTTATTTTTTTTTATTTTTATTTTTTATAAGACGCATTTATCAAACATTTTATAATAAAAAAAAAAAATGCTTTCCCTTTGCCTCTCTCCAGAGACAATGTGGAAGGGTTTCTTTTTTTTTTTTTTTTGATAAAGAGAAATAATATAAATCAACCTACATTGGAGTTATATATATCTCTATATATATGTAAATTAAAACTCCATAGTAAAATCCATGTAAAGTTTATTTTAAGTTTGAGCATAGCTGGTCACGGTCGGGTTTGTAATCAACCAGTGAAGTCGGTGGTTAAACTACATTTATTATACATTTCTTTAGACTCGCACAAAGAATCGAGATAGAGCATCAGCAATATGGATATTCGTGAATAACTTAAAATTTAGTCATATCCCTTAATCTGTCCATCCGGCCGCCTGTTGCTGGCGCTATAAAGTTTACGAAAAGCAAAACGTAAAAGCTGAAACTTGTTAAGACAACAGAGATGCCAACGGTCACAATCGGTTACGACCTGTATAACGAAAAAGTTACATAAAAGTTGAATAATTGCAAGCTATAGCAGAGATCGATGCTCCTGCTCCTGTTTTTACGAATTTATTACACGGTTGGGTGCGGATCGGAATATTTTTCTTTGGAATTTTTTTGCACGCAAATTCCAAGATATCGATGTAGACGATTTGTGGTTCCAACAAGACATTGCCGTATATCATGCAAACACACACAGAAACAATTCAGTTATTATATTAACTATATTTAGTCATACTTAGGTAGCATCTAAGTGTTGAGGAATTTGTGAAAATTTCATAGATTTTCAGATCCGGAAAACTGTCACAATGCCATCAACTAAAGCAGTGTAAAATTGATTCATATGAATAACCGCAGAAAAGAAACCCCGTCTTTTGCTAATAGTGAGAATTCAATTTACTTACGCATACATTATTTGCATATTTCCGTTGTAACCCTTAAAAGTAATGAATTTCTGATAATCTGATAAGAAATGGTTTACGGCAAATGGTGGATAAAATAGTTGTGTATGTTCCTATGACGACGCAAATGTTGCTAAACAAAAGAATGAAACTAAAAGGGATCCATTGAAAGTCCTATCCAGTAGTTACGAGCTTGCAAACGCAAATGTATATAGAACGGAATGATGAAGTGAAGTGAAAGTAGCGAAGCGTAATCAAAAAATTAAAAAATCGAAAATGTAATTACTTTAGTATGTTTATTAAAATGATATTTTCGCTCTCTCTATATATATATATATATACAATATAGTGAATTTAATCATTTCTCGTTGTGATTGCGTGCTAAATTATTAAAACTATTATACGTATTGAGTGAGTGCACTTTGCCGGAAAACTCTTCGATTCGTAAGTGTTTTTTTTTTTTTTGTATTTTATTATTGTTTCGGTGATTTTTTGTCAAAGTTCAATGTTTTTTTTTTTTCGCTTTTCATATCACATGAAAATAATTTATATTTAAGAGTAATATAACAAAAATTGAAGCGATTAACCCTCGATAAAATATGTTTTGTTTAACAACAAAAATTAACAACAAATTCAAAATCAGTCTGTTTTATTTCTCTCTCTCTCTCTCTCTCTCTCTCTCTCTCTCTCCCCCTCCCTCCCTTGCTTTCTTTCTTTTTATTCCCTCTCTCTTTCTCTCTCTCTCTCTCTCTCTCTCTCTCTCTTTCTAGCTTTCTTTTTTTTTGCCATCGTCTTATTTATTTACATTTTGTTGTCTATGAAATTCTCATCACAATCTTGGCATGTCCTTGGCGGCATTGCTGTGATTATTTCGTTGCGAGTTACAGGCCCTCAATGCACTGGTATAGCTAAGCGATGTGATAAGGTCTTTGTTGCTTTGCGTCGTTTCTTTTGTAGAAAAGTTTTCACCGATTCCAGCGGCAATTGAAAGTGATAGTAGGCGCAATAAGGCAAAGGATCCCAATAGGCGAATAAAGCTTCGCGTTTATCTAAGGCAGTTGTAGCGCTTGAATTCTCCAGCGATGACCAACTAAGTGCGGCTAAGTTTGAGCCGTTAGTATTAGCGGTTGAATCGTCCGTTTTTGTTGCAGGCGGTACTAAACTTAATGATCGCATCGGTACGCATTTCATTGTGCGGCATAAAGTTTGAGCATGTGAACGATTATAGCATATGTACGGTAGAGATACACCCAATCGGACACCTAAGGGTAAAAATTCCCCGGTACTTTGACACTTTACTAAACGAAAACTAATATGACAATTTATGCTACGTTGAAATCTAATTTTGGCAAAGAATACTCTAAGCCAATGCTCAATTAGGGCAGCGTCAGCGGCAGTGGTCGGAGAATTCGCTACGACTGGTACTAGATTTCTTGTTTCGTGATCTACACGACAACTAACATTAGCCACTACTTGAGTATTCTTTACCGTAGTGCAGGTCACATAATGTTCACCAGGTATATCGCGCACCACCAGCCATTGTTGTCGTTCACTTATTTCATGGCCGAATTTCAAGTCGCGTCGTTGTCTCGGTAAAATGTACTTGAAACGTTCTAAAATGCCTTGCATGCCTACGGCGACCATTATGTTGCGGAATTGTTGAACAAAACCCCCTTCATACAATTCCCATAGTTCAGCCAATGAAGAGATGCTCATATATGGAGGCAAATTAATTTTCTGGCTAGCGCAACGTTGATAGAATTGCAAGCAATCGTCCAATATTAGTGTTTCTTGTACGCCCGTCATAAAAGTCGCACAGCCCAAAACTTCTAAATGAGGTTTCGCTACGGAATCATAATACGCAGGATTTGTAGCACATACCGGTACATAAACGGAAGGTTTCTCTTTTCGTACAATATGACATAGCGCTGCAATGTAATTATCTATATTGTGAGGAGCAGGTCGTGGCACTACATAGAATTTATCTACGGCTGTTGAAAAACGAGCTAAGCCAAATAATCCGTCAAACTCGAAAACGATAACACGAGCACCGGCCGAGTAAAAGTTACGGGCCAAATGTAAAGTTTGTATCGTGCTGCCGCAACTTATGAGGACAGTACGCTTAGGTCCGTTATGTTGGGTTCCCAAACCATTTACATTTGTAGAAGTTTCATTAACAAGCAACCATTTAAATAATCCTATGGGTATACGAATAAGTTTCCAAAAGATCCATAGTATGGCCGATAACCAAAAGCTAGGAGCAGCTATAGACAAAGGCACATATAATATGAAACGCAGCATAAGCAATACAATATTCGCTAACAGATTCGGCCAAAACATCACCATATTTCCCACACGTTTCTTTATAGGCTGAGCAGATGGCTTTAGTAATTCCGTGTTAATGCCAGTATTTACTCGACTTATCGTTGGGCTGGTCACTTCATCAGAGGATTCCTCTTGACTCGGATCTTCGGGAATTAAATCTAAGGAACTAATCCGCCGAAATTTGGAACGTGCGTAACGCAATTGTCGCGCGTAATCCTGTTTCGTTTGAAAATCTTGTAACATTTTCGTTTTCGTTTTTAATCGAAAATTTCGCGATTCGATTGCAATTGTTTTGGCGAAATTTTATAGCAAAAATCACCGATTAACTAAACGTGTAACGTTCAAGTGTTAAACTTTTAAGGCTTGAACACTTCTTTAATGCACAATAATAAGTACGATTGCGAGATTTCGAATAAAACGACATAGTCGTATCGGCAACGAAGGCGATTTTCTACTGATTAACGTTCGGTTTGTCGGTGAAACTACAACAATAATGCTAGCGGGCACTGTGTGCAGGCGTACGTGAGTTATTGTAAGATTATCGCTACTAAAGAAGCGTATTTGTGTCTGAGCGTATTTGTGATTGTGTGTGCAAATTAGCTTTTGATTCTTATTTTGTTGTTTGAATTAATCTTGACTGGCCTATGACATTAGCGTACTTTGAACCGTTTTTCCATGTTTTGCTTCTTTAAACACAAATTTTATTTAAAATCAATTTTACATAAATTGTAAATTTTTTTATCTTTTTCAATAATTGCTTAACGGTTTTTTTCTTTTTTTTTCTTATCTTTTCTTTTCTTTTCTTCACTTTTCTTCACTTTTCGTTTCTTGTCTTTCCTTTCCTTTCCTTTCCTTTCCTTTTCTCTTTTCTTCTCTTACTCTCTCTTCTTTTATTTTCTTTTCTCTCTCTTCTTTTCTTTCCTTTTTTTCCTCTTCTTTTCTTTTCTTTTTCTCTCTTCTTTTCTTTTTCTCTCTTCTTTTCTTTTCTTTTTTCCTCTTCTTTTCTTTTCTTTTTCTCTCTTCTCTTCTTTTCTTTTCTTTTTTCTCTTTTTTTTCTTTTCTTTTCTTTTCTTTTCTTTTCTTTTCTTTTCTTTTCTTTTCTTTTCTTTTCCTTCCTTTCCTTTTCTCTTCTCTTCTCTTCTCTACTCTTCCCTTCCCTTCCCTTCTCTTCTCTTCTCTTCTCTTCTCTTCGCTTCGTTTCTTTTCCTTCCTTTCCTTTTCACTTCTCTGCTCTTCTCTTCCCCTCTCTTCTTTTATTTTCTTTTCTTTTTTTTTCTTTTCTTTTCTTTTCTTTTCCTTTCCTTTCTTTTCTTTCCTTCTCTTCTCTTCTATTTTCTTTCACTTCTCTTTTCTTTCTCTTCCTTTCTCTTCTTTTCTTTTCTTTTCCTTTCTTTTCTTCTATTTTCTTTTCTCTTTTCTTCTCTTCTCTTACCCTCTCTTCTTTTCTTTCCTTTCTTCTCTTCCCTTTTCTTTTTGTTTCTTTTCCTTCCTTTCCTTTCTTTCCCTTTTGTTTTTTTCTTTTCAACGTTATTATTGATAGGCGTTCACTAACCGGCTTTGCCTTCACAGTGACGTACCATATTTCATAATTCATAATTGTATAGATTCTCTCCTCGCTGTGAAAATAGTTATTTATATCATAAAAGAACTATATTGGTTGCGTCTATGCAAGATTAACTGAGACTGAGACAGAGAGACGGACAGACAAGTGTAACAGCAGACAGGATAATGTTTGATTCAGAATCATTTTGGAAATTTTCTGTCTGTCCCTCTAACCATGTAAAAACGTGTTCAAGCAATTTTGCAGATATGGTGATCAAATTTGGCGCACTGACTGACAACTGCTTAAGGTGCTGCCGTTTTAAGAAAGTGATCGCGTTTCCTAACCTCAATTAGGCTAATTGAACGGAAGGACAAAGATCACTTTGAAGGCCGTTAATTGAGCATACACATATCCTACTCCCCCCTTTTCACTTTCCCTATTTATAATCCTTAGTGGCTAATCGTTGGGAAAAAACAGTGCCGTCAGTTCAAAGGGGACTCATTTTTATCATCGAATATCATTTAAACGAAAACATTGAAAAGATTCGCAGAATTGCACCTCATATGTAAGATTTTTTATCTTGAACAATATACTGCGCTATTGGCGTCGACCAGCATTTCGATCGATATTGCTATTATCGATCTCGATCGGCATTTGACGATTGCAAATTTTTATCTGATTAACATATTATGGCTATAAGTATAGAATCAATGTCTTGTAGATATTATTATTATTATTTTTTTGTTTTACTTTTAAAAACTTGGTTGTTCAAAGGTGTGCAAGCAAGGAAAAGACTTCAACGCATTATAAGTTTGTCTCTGAAACAGTGATATTTTATTGTGCCACAGGTTCTTCTTTTCAATGCACTTTGAATTACAAGATTACGTCTAGACTTTCGCTGATTATAATAACATTTTTTTAAAATGGATTCCTTTTAAAATGGTAGCAACTTAAAAGCGTATGATATGTTAAGTTCATTATATGCACTAGTCATTCAAAAAAAAAAAAAAAAATAATAATAATAATAACAATTAAAATTCTGCAATCAATTTCATTACACGTTTTAATTGGTATTTGGAATGAAATTGAAAATTTTTGATACGCTTTGTTCACTTAAGGTTGGCTTAAGTTTGAACGATTAAAGATTTGCATTAGAGTGCTTATAATTCGCTTTCTATTTGATCAAGAATTTTTATGAAATTTTTGTTAAAGTCAGCAATTTTTGGTTAGCGCTTAGCTACAATGTAAATAACAATCAGGTGGGCACATAGGTGAGCTTTTAATTCCGAAACAAATATTGATTAAGATTGAAATTTTGAATACGGTTTCGTTCAGATAATGAATTTTTTTTTTTTGTTTTAAAGTAAATTCCATAAAAATTAATTGTTTTCCGTTGAAAAGAATAAATAAAAAAAAAAAATTTTATAAACACATCTTGAGTGAAAGTATGAGGACGTTTCAAAATTATTCTATTCGAAGCAATGTATGAAATTATAGCGAGTGCATATTAAGCGGTATGTAATTATTTATCAACTTTGTGGAGAACAGTTAACAAAGTTTGATTTTGCTCTCTTTAAAGTAATCCCCCTTTGGTAGATCTAGCACAACTTATGGTCGCGCTTTTTCCAATCCTCAAAGAGCTTCTAATATCTAACGCTTTTTGATGCAACCTTCAGCTCTTCCAGTGATGCGGTGTTTATTTCTTTAAAACACTCCCCTTTTCCGTGGATTTTGGCAGGTATGGGAACGGGAAAAAGTCGCAGGGAATCAAGTCCGCTGAAGCTGGTGCAATATCCACGAGTGGTTATTCCACAATTGCGAGCATTTTTTCTTATCGCTTCAGGTGAACGGCACTGAACTTTAGTGTAGTATTCCTTCTTGGCCGCACGAGCTTTTAGCAGGATCTCCCGATCCATCACGTCATTGCAATCGAAGAAACCCGAACGTGAGTAAAATCTTTACAATCAATCGAGCTTGGCGTGCTTTTTTCGGTCTTGGCTCTTCTGGTCGCTTCCATTAAGATGATTGGACTTTAGTTTCGACATCCTAACCATATACTCATGTTTCGTCGTTTTGATCGTCATTAACATTATTCAACAGTTTCTGAGCGATGTTTCACGCAGAAAACATCCTAAAAAATTACGTGACTTGAGCTAACTGATATGCTAACATCCTCAGCAACTCCTCTATAATGGCGATTCAACGATTCGTCATATCAATTTTTTTCACTGCTTCATCGTTTTCATCGGTTGTTGCAGTGCAAGAGCGTCCAAAGCGGTCATCGTCATTACGGATTTCCCGGCATTCTGTGTAGAGCTTGTACTACTTATAAAATTTTTTTTTTTTGCTCAAAGTACGCTCTCATTCAATTTTCAATTTCACACAAAATTTAATACAGATTCTTTGATCTATTTTTTCAATAGCAAAAATACACCAAGTAGACCGAAACACGTCTAATCTTTATATTGGTCATAAACAAACTAAAAATTCAAAATGGCTGATAATGTCAACAAATGTTGGGCGACGCGTGTACCAACATAACCAAAAGAAAAAGAAATCCAAAAATCGAACGTACATGGCCCATGAAATCGCCCGGAAAGTCACCTTCTTTTTGAGCGCACATCGTACTGAGGCATGGAATAATGGTTTGATTTCGATGACTAGCTAAGATATATTCGCATATTTCGGTGCGATGATGTGAAATGGTACAGAAAAATTAGAATATTACGTTCCAGAATAACTTTTGAAAACGGTTTGAAACTGTGCTAAATCACTTACTTAAAATGGGCGGTGTAGGCAAACTAGAAAATCAGCATTTGGAAGGCGTTATAGTATTTTCTATGGAAGTGCTTTTTAAAGGATTATGTTACTACAAACAGCACAATTTTTTTTTTTCTAAATTTATATAAAAAACATTTGGCTTTGGCTGCAAAAAAAAAGCAAGCAAGCAAGATAACATTCCGCTGTGAGTAAATCTTTCCTACCCCCATCATCTTTATCGTAAATAGGTTAAAAAAAGATTAGAAAGATTCGATTTTTTCTCGTTTCTACTGGATATTGGCAGAAATTTTTATCGTATGTCTATGATAGTTGATGATTAGTGAGTAAAAAGCTCAGAGATCAGAGGCTTTCTCTGCTGATCTTGTGTCCTTTGATCTAATTAGTCCGTTGTTAAGGCCCGCATACCTTGTTTTGCAAATTTGACGATGATATGTCCATTACGAGCTATGCGGAACTTCTGGGATCTTTTATGTAGAAACTTGTGAAAAGTTGTTTCGAAAAGGTGAATCAAGACATTTTTGAAGGCCTTTTTTGAAGTCTGTTTTTTTTTTTATACCGTTAAGAAAGTTAAGTAAAGAGCGAAACCAACTTAATCACGTCGTTAAGATGTGCAACGACGAGATCGGGTTCAATCCTTAATGCGGTGGATCACACTATAATTGCGACGTATGTATGTAAATTTACCTTCCACTTTGTCTGCCTGAATGGCCGAATAGCCAAAGAATCTTCACTGATAGCAATGGTCGTAGACTCAAAACTTAAATACGGTAGGATTTTCAATAAAACCGATAGCGTTACAAGCTGGTGCTTGTAGAATTTATTTCTCGGCTAAATTAATAATAATAATGTTAACAATAATAATAATAATAATAGTCTTCTATTATGCAAACAATTTATAAATAAAATTTGTTTGCCAAATCTAGGAACATTATATGATATATATATATATATATATTACAATAATATATTATATATTTTATTATAATTTCTTGCCACTAAAAGTTTTTAAAAACGTGCTTTTGGCATATTTCTGATCCTTTTAAGATAATCTAACATATTTTGATGAAATATCTTTAAAAAATGAGTGGGAAAATTTCAGTCATTTTAGAGCAAATCAATAATGCACAAAATATTTGCATCCAGTGGGTTGATATATACATTTATCTTTGATAGATGGGATCGTAGATCATATCGATCTATTTTTCCGATTGTCTCCTATAAGGAGAGTGATTCTGTTAACTGAAATGGTATTTAAGGTATTTAAAAGTTGGCTTTGCCCGTTTATAAAGCGTAAGATGCAGTTGAAGCACTTTAAGCCGTCAATACTATAGTTTACTATACTACTAACGGATGGTCAATATACATACAAGTGTAAGCCAAATATGTTAAAAAATTTTAGAAATAAAAAACAATATTTTATTTTTAGTTTTATTTACGAGAGATGAAAAACAACGAAGACGAAGAAAATATGATTACGCGAAATAAAAATGCAATAATTATTATTTTATTAAATATTTATATTGTTTATACATGCTCTTATACAAACAATTAATATAGGGTGATTAAACAAAGAGAATTTTCTCCTCTTTTTTTTTCTCTTTATAAAACCATCTACGTTTTTCTCCGCATTTCCTACAAAGTTCAAATTTATGTTTAGCATCGTTTAGGAAATCATGAAAAAAAATTCATAGTTGTACAGCATATAGAATATATTGCCTGTCAAATGCAAGTGCTTGTAAGTTTGAAAAATCCAACCGAATCAAAAATGTTAACTTAGTTCTGAAAATATTATATAATAGGTATGCGAACTAGCGTGCAGATGAACCATCACATTGCAGTTGTCATCAATGTAGAACGCTATAGAGAGATAAATACAGACAGATTTTTGTGTGAAATAATAATTAGATGACTTTAACTTGGACGATACGATACAACTTGCAATACCTCGTGTAACACAATCACTTTATTGAACAAAAAGGAAGTCAGTGACCGAGTAATCTCCAGAAATGCCAATGTGCACTGGTCACCAAGATTATGCCAGATAATATCCTTGGAATTTTTCTGTGGTTTATTCGAATAAATCATAGACATTCAGTGACCTTTAAAAGCAACATTTTTTTGTGTTATTGCTGAAATGAGAGCAGATATGTGTGTAAATGTAACTAAAACCCGCTGCTCCAGAATTGAATTTTGAGGGAGAATTAAGGTGAAATCATTACATTATTTTTAAAGAAAAATCCCATAAAACAATAGCTAATACAACAACGTCAGAGTGGCCGAGTGAGCAAAGGATCTGGACTAAGAACTCTATGGGTGTGGGTTCAAGTCTCAAGTGCAGTAGAGTTTTCAATTAAGCTGGTGGTTCTAAATGCGTGTGCTTTAAGACTTTAATCTTAAAATTTATTTCTCTCTCTCTATCTCTCTCCCTCTCTATTAATAACAATAATCATAAAAAGAAAACAATGATGTTACTCTCCTTTAACATTAGACTTACAGCGGTGTATCGAAGAAGTCGCTATCTTTAGGTGTTATATATTCGTTTTTAACGATGTAATGCAACAAACATATATACGTTTCTATTTTTTTTTCTTCTGGGACAAGCGTACATTTGCTATTCTGATTCACATTCTAATTTTTGTGAATCGTCATAAACGCAAAAATAAAGATAGAAAGCTGAAATTTGGCAAAAATATTCCTTGATCGCTTAAACTTGTGGAGTTGGAAAATGGGAGTGACTTGTTTTACAGATGCGCCCACAATGCGTGGGAAACTAGGACAACTTTGAACAAATTTTTTTTTTTATTTCATATTCTCTTCTATAATTTTCGATCTTCGACTGAATCGAACAAAGAATATCGAATTTACGAGTTCCGCTAGCCTCAGTTCAATCTTAATTGCATTTGCAAAAAAAAAGAGCAAAAATTTCCTACTTTATCACCCTATATATAAAGAACACACATTGCTTGTGTGATGCCGTGAAGGTTAGACATATATTTAATAACGAAATACCTTTGCGATAAGAAAGCATTGCGGTATTCAATATATAGAATCAATTAAAACCGATTTTAATCGCATTCAAGTAGCTAAGGGAATAATTTACATTACCTTTACTTATACCTATAATATGTTACATATATAATGTAATGTTTACATATTTAGGAAGATTGGTAGATAATCTTTAGTAGAGAACTCAGTTGAAAAAATTGTATAAGAAATTTTAAAGAAAAGCACCAAACTAAAATAGGAAATGAAAAAAAAAGACCTGAGCAAATAATGAGCCATAGTATGGATGATTTGTGTTAGCCATTTGCCTAAAGTAACATAAACAAATTGTCTAATGGGTATTATTATTCCCGATTAAAATATTCTTTTACCATTTTTACGACTACGAAAACGTACGTAAGAAACATAAGCTTAGCGAAAGTATGCCTTCGCCTTAGTAAACATACACTCGACATATATGGTGCACTTACAAAACCGATCCAAGTACATGTGTGTTTATGTTGAGTTCAATTTTTATTAAATTCTAAAAATTACATTACTAACTTTTTCTCTAATGCAAACACAAACACAAAAACAATCAGTAGTTTCTTTTTCTTTTGCTTATGTTGTTTTTCTTTCTTTTTTTTCTTTCTTTTTTTTTTTCTCCATTTTGATTTGTGTAAACAATAATTGTGTGCAACTATTTCCGTTTATGTAAATCGCATTGTTTTTGTATTTGTTACACGTTCTGTGTAAACTGAAATTTTTACAACACGAAAACTTTTCATTTACCACAAATCACACTACTACTACTGTGTCGTCCGTGGAAACCAGAAATTTGTTAATTCAATTCGTTCGTATTATTTCCCAAACCAAATTAAGGCAGCGTTCGTTCATTTATGTCGCAAACCCAACCAGGAAATCCGTTTAACAGTAAGTAATCTTTCGAATACGAAGTACTCGTGTCCTACACTCACCGACATATTAATAGAGAAAGCAAACAAAAAAAAAAAAAAAAATAAAAAAAACAAAAAAAATAAAAAAAAAAAAAAATTTTTTTTTTTTTTTCTATGCCAACAACAACATAACTAGGACTTTAAAAAAAACAAGGCATTAAATTTATAATAAAATCAAACACTGCATCGGCAGACTCGTCAATTTCAACTCAGTCAACCAACAATGGTTTTGGTTAAAGCAGTTACGCTAACAGTTTTTTTAATATAAAATGAAGTTTTTCAAATAACAAAAAATTTCGAAATTAATTAAAATTTTCTATATTATATAAAAGTTTAAAAGTCTTTAATATATATTTAGGATATCCAAAAAAAACACCTTGCTAATCGCTTAAGGTTTGTATATAGAAACGATTGCTTTAGTAGAAATATTGTGGCGAAAATATGCGGAAATTCAGCAGTGGCGTTATTGTTGTAGTTTCTATACAGAAATTTCTTAGGAGCTGTTTAACATTACAACTTTGTGAATTAGATTTAATTTGACCGTTTTTTTAAAATCTCTAATGAAAAAGGATAACGAGATAAAATTAAGATTAAGAAGAGTGGAATTTTTTATTATCATTTTTGCCGGCTACATGGTATGTGGTGTCGTCATGCCGACACCGGACATGTCGGAGACAATTGCATTGCTTTTTTCCAAAAAAAGGCCAGGAAGTGGAGCCAGCTAAAGGTTTGATAGTTACCATGATTTAACCTCGTTTATTGGGAAAACCCATAAACTCTTAGGGAGTTAGGGAGTCATATTTAGCTAAACACCAACCAAGAGGAAGCTTCGTTTTACTAGCCGAATAAACTATCTGGGCTAAAATAACCTCACCTCCGGCAATGTTGTAGGTATAGCCGATTTTAGAAGTAGAGCTGATATACATATAAATATATATATACGAAGAAGTCCCTGTCGGTTTTTTAATAGAAGGTAACTTTTATTTTTTGCCCTACACCATTAATGGTATAGCGTATATTTAGTTAGTGCGGACGTATGTAACACGCAGAAGGGCTTAAGATATTATACTGAACGATTCAGAATCATAATCTGAATTGTTCTAAGCCTGTCTGTCCGCGTGATGTCTGTCCATGTAAATATGTGTTCAAGGTAAAGGTCGCAAATTTTAAATTTGAACCATTTCAGCCAATTTTTCGTATCACACCCTAACAAGGATTTCCGCGAAAATTGATCTCCTTTTCGAGCAGAATTGTCCAAGTTTTATTATGTGATTTCTTGCAAAAATGAATTCTATAAAATTTGGAGCATCTACGCTTATTTTTGGATCCCGCCCTATGCAAGGATTAAACCTAATGTACCACAATTGGTTTTAGCTTCGCTTCCCCATAAATGTGCACATGAAAAATATATTTTTATATAAAAACAACATATAATTTCTTTGTTCTATAATAAAAATAAGAATTGTGTTAGACAATGTGGTATAGGGTATTTAATTTGTCGGTCTTGCCCGACTGTTCTTACTTATTTAATCAAAGTTTGGTCTATTGTTGGTAACTACTTCACTTTATTTTTTTATTTATTATTCTTAAGACAACAAAATATGAATTCCGTGAGAGAAGGTCGACGTTTTTTTAAATAAGTGGTTATAAGGAGCTGGGCGTAAAAATAGGCGAATATGGTCCGATTTGAATCATTTTTAATTGGAAAGGGGTTCGAGCCAAAACACGCCAGTTTACGAAATTTCCTCTGAAACGGGTCTTTTTTTTAAGCCCTTCTGGGCGTAAGCTGCATAACCACAAACTTAATATACCGGTGAGCGGTATAAAAATTTGCATTTTTCAACTCATCTTGACGAAAATCGTAAAAATAATAAGATCCTTGACAAGAAAATTAATTTTAATGAATTCGAACAACGTATGTTCATAGTTTGGGACTCCGCCCAGGAAAATCATAAAAAACAGAGCATAATTGTTGGTACCTTATCACCAAAGTAAATGGAGACTTGTATTACGCAACGTTGTGTAACGTGCAATATATCCGAGAAGTCCTGCGTGTATAGAGTTTTACATGGAATATGTTATGTAAAACCTTTGCTGGCATAAAATCACTTAATGATTTAATTTTAATCGGTATACGTGGCTGGCATTATGTTGAAGGACGTACGGAATGGCTGGTTAAGTTCATTAGCTGGATCAGTTTACGCCAAATTTTTTAATTAATCTTTTCACAGTTCACAGAAATAAAGTCACTATTTCGCTTAAATTTTGTATGAAAAATTCAAATTTTGGCTTATGTGTTTTTAGCTTACGTACATAGGTAAAGTAACAATTAGGTGTGAACTCTCTATTCATTATAGTCAAAAAGTTAAAAATAATTAAATTTTAGGAAAAAATGTAAAGGAAGAGTCTAAACTTTAACAGGGCCGAATGCAGGGCCAATTAATAGTTCTGCGAAAAAATTATCTCGAATGATCAACTGACACGTCTACAATTAAGCAAAATGTTTTTACGATTTCCATAAACTACGTTAAGGTGGTAGATACTCAAATTTTGCCACAAGATATACCTCTGTTACTCTTTAGTGCATTTTCATCACCATCAACGAAGGATGGCTGGGTGTTTAAGGGTGTAGTAAGTTTGTCTCTCTGTGTGTAAAAACTGTAAATAGGTATAAGGGACGCATCATAAGCGAAGGTTTTGAGAGGATTTAACAATGTCCATCCGTCCATCCACCAATCTTCCCGCTGTCTATGTGCTGTCTGTTCGTCGGCTACACATACCTGCGTCTGGAACACTCGTGTTCAATATCAAATCTTGAAAAAGAAAGCTGGAATTTGGCATCGGTACACTCTCAAGATGGACCGAGATGGTTCAAATTTGGTGCAGAAATTTTTTTTATCTTAAATTACTATTATGGATTGATTTTCATCATGAAGCATTGAAAATTAAATCATTTCATCATATGAACTTCATTTCAACTTTCGTTATATGAGAGAGGAATCAAGAAATTGCCCCAACTGGGCCAGGGATTACATACCAATTTAGAATGTTGAAACGCTGTTAGTAAGTCATTTTTATCGAGAAGTGTTGAAAATTGTAATTTTTCCAATATGACAGTTTTTCAAAGTAGGGCATTATTGGTCGAGGGAATGGTCGAGGAGTAGACCATTTCCAATAATATTCGCCTTTGGGTCTTAACGCGGGAGTATACCGAATTTCATGAAAATATCTTAAAAATTGCATCCTCTAACTTTAAAACAAACTTCACAGGAATAGACGTCAGACGTGCAGACAGGCTTAGATTCAGATCAATATAATAAAAGATGGATCTATCTTAAGGGCATCTTCGTGTTACATATGTTCGCAATAAATTTAGTACACTCTGCACTACAACTGGTGTAGAGCATAAGCAGGGATCTATTGAGAAGATCTACGCAAAATTCGTTCACCGATAGCGGTCGACACGCCTAAATTTAATAAAATATTTTGCAATTACAATAAATTGATTTGAATACAAATTTTTTTTTTTTTGCACTTTTCTTTTATAAATTGACTTTTAATTTAAAAACTAACGAGAAGGGAGATCGCAAATTCAATAATATCTCCCCATTCATAAATAATTTTTTCTTATTTAAATTATGATTTAGTTTTCTATGCCCCATTGATGATACGTGAAATACCTACCTGTAGGAAATAAATCATATTCGTGTTTGATTTTATGCAAATTATTTGCATTATGTTGTATGCTTATACGAAACATTCGTCGACACACACACACACACACACTTAAATCAATTCGTTATGCTATTAGAAGTCGATGTGAATGATTGTAAAACAATATAATAAAAAAGAAAAACAATCTCAATGGATTATTTGTACGTAATAATTCTAGAGAGGGAAACCTACATTTACAGATAGGCGTCTGGGTGCCCTCTTCAACTAAGCTTATATAAGAAACGATTTAATATAGAATAGTCACATTAAAATAGAACAATTGAATCGCTCTCGCTTTTATAAAGAGTTTGTAGTAATGTGCTTAGCGGTAACAGACAGTATAATGCGTGTTTGATAAACATAAACAAATTCATATTCATATTTTATATCAACAGCATAAATTTTATTTAGAAATCATATTCGATATAAATAACTAGAAAATATTGTTGGCTATAAGCTTTATAAGCCCCTTCTACTCTTCGTCTTTTTTCCCTATATTTTATGCACAATATACACATATCGAATATTTCATAGTTTAAGCCTTCCGTGCTGATAAAAATCTATGACTACGAGAAATAAAATGCTAAAGTAAAAGGTGTGTTTGTGTGTGTGTAGGTAGGTAGGTAGGCAGGTAGATATGGGCTAAAATGCTATACACCGTTAGCATAAATAATCCAATTTTATATTGAAAAGTCATAAAAGTCGTTAGATTGGCTGCAAAGTTTCTTCGATTTTAGATTTCTGTAGTGAAGCTTTCTACACAAAAAAAAAAAGAAGAAAAACCAAACAAAAAAGTTTTAATTGCTGTTGAAAAAGTGTTAACAGCAACGAATTAAATTAAAATTGATTTTGATGTTTTAATTTTCTATGGTTTTTAATTGTTTTTGCATTTTCATTCTTTGTACTTTTTTTATTTACTTTGTTCATCAGATGCAAGCATATCGAGACAATTTCAAGCAGACGCCTTGCCCGACTAATTTGGATCAAACAGCTGTTTCTACCTCTGCCCGTTTACCGTTTTCGAAGGGGCAACATAATCGAACGGTTAGCGATCATCATCTGCCCGCAAATGCAACTGTGAACCTAACCACGCCCAGAATGTTAAGTCCTACAGTCTCGCATGAAGGCGGCACAACGACATCAGCTTTGTTGCGGCAAAACCAAGAGCTACGACAACGTTTAGCTGATGAAGCTAATAATTATCGAAGACGTTTGGATACGTATAAGCAGGCCCAACAAAACCAAGCTACTCTCGTTAGCCGTTTGCAATCGAAAATTCAACAATATCGGCAACGATGCAGCGATTTAGAAGAACGCATGCAAGAGACCATAAAGCCATCAACGACTTGTCATATGCCTAAATTAACGACAGGTCCTACTTCTAGTCAAGTCGTGGTGGGTAACAGGGAAAATTTTCCAATTACTTAATTAATTTCTATTAAGATGTTTGTAATGATTTCAGTGCGCAACTTCTTTGACTTTAGGCCATTCGAGTCAACCGTGTTCCTCTTCTTTAGAAACAACACCGCTTTCTCCGCCCACATGTGGTGGTGGTCGAGAGTGCGTCGTCCACGAAGATAGCAGTGAATTGTGTCGGAAATTAGATGAAGAGCATAAAAAATGTGAACAATTGATGGCTCAAAATAATGCGTTGCGACAACAGTTAGAAGAATCTAATCACACCAATGAAGCTTTAACTAATGACTTGCAAAAGTTAACAAATGATTGGTCCAATATGCGAGATGAATTAATGGCTAAAGAGGATGAATTTAAAGAAGAAGAACAGGTAACTATTAGTGAGATTGATATTTGATTTACAGGAACGGGTTGCAGTGATTTTAATGCATTTGTAGGCTTTTAAGGATTATTGCAATAGCGAACATAATCGTCTATTGAAAATGTGGCGAGAGGTGGTAGCTGTAAAACGGGCCTTTAGGGATATAGAAACCGCTATGAAAAACGAAGTGTCCAAAATGGGTTTAGAAATAAATAGCACAACTAAGGAGTTATTGGCTTCATGTGGCGGTGTAGCTTTCAATGTACAACAAGCTAAACGAGTAGTCGATGAACAATTATTAGAAGCTAAACGTGAGAGCGATGGTTTGCAAGGCCAACTGGCCACGTTGAAGGTGCAACATGAAAGTGCTCGTCATGAGATCTTGGAACGTGATCAACGTTTGCTGGAATTAATGAATCAACTTAAGAAACTCGAAGATCGTTGTGGTCAAGCCGAATCTCAGGCCATGCTAGCAAATCGTTATAATGACGAAATCGAACGTCTTAATAATTCAATACGTGAAATAGCCCAAGCTGTCGTTTTAGATGCTGAGATCGCCGATCGTGAGACAACAGATCAAGGGGTAGCTGCACGAGAGAGCAGCGAACCGTCCGCGCATATGCACACAGCTCGTGATTCGTCATCGGCCGTTCCAACATCGGCAAAATCTGGTCGCCGCTCTTCTTCGCGTACCTCGCACGCGTTTGCCGAAAGTACTATATCCGCAGTTCAGGCTGCTTTGCATAAATATCAGTTAGCTCTGCATGATATGCAAGTGAAATTTCAAAATACTGATGAAAATTTACGATCTACGAGAACACAGTTGGACACAAGCGAAGGCACGAAAGCCCTTTTAACTACAAAAATACAACAACTCACTGAAAAATTAGATGTGAGCAATTCTAAACTTTCGGAATTGTTGAAGGAACGTGACAGTTTGCAGAAGACGCTGGATGAAATTCGCCAACAGAAGCAACAATCCGAACTGGGAAAAGCTGAACTTAATAATGCGGTATATATATAAGGTAGTAAAGTTTAATAAACACTATCTTTAATCAACGTCTTTTCCTTTCACTCGTGTTTTCAGTTTGAAAACTTGAGTACAGACTATGAGAAACTTCAGTTTAATTATGGTAAACTGCAAAAGAAAATCGATTCATTGGAAGAGGATAAAAAGGCAGTCGAATTGGAAATCCAACGAATACTTAAGGATAAGAATATTACTGAGATGAATTTAAGGTTTGTCAAGTGCTACAATATAAGTGTAAGAGAATGTTCCGAAAATTAAATCGTTTTTTTACTATTACTTTACAGAGCTGAAGAAGATCGCGGCAGTCGTTTACGTGAGGAGACTATATCTTTGCGTGAAGAATTAAATCGCGTAAGCTTAAGTCGAGATTTGCTTGATCAACAACGCATCGAATCGGATAATTTGATTAGTTTATTAGAAAAGCAAAAAAATGACTTAGAATACGATGTGGATAAGTTATTGGTGGATAAATGCGATTTACAAGAGCGTCTAGAGAAAGTGTTTAGTAATAATTCAAATACCTCTGACGAACTAAAAGCTATGCAAAATAATTTATGTGAAGCCCAAGAAGAGTGTAAAAAACTTGCGCAACAATTGAAAGAGCAGAACAACGAAATAGCTGATCTTAAAAAAGAGCATGCTCAGGTAGAAAAACTACGTCTAGAATTGGAAACTGACAACCTTTCGTTTAGCGAAAAGTTGAAATGCTTGCAAATTGAAAAAGAAAAAATTCTACAAGATTTGGCTTGTATAACGCGTGACCGTGGCGATATACACAATCAACTTACGGCTATGTGTCGCAGAAAGGAAACGCTTAACGAAGACCTTATGCGTTGCCGGCAACGCCTAGAGCAGACTACAGAAACGAACAACCGTTTGAATAGAAATCTTGAGGAAATGATTAAGGATGTGGAAGAAAAACAAGTGGTTATTGATTTACATGAGAAAGAAACACATCGTCTGCAGGTATGTTATTTGATTTTAAAAACTGCGTCTACTTATGTGCTTCGGTTCTCTTAAATATGTCAGGAATTATTGGCATCACTACGATCGGAGAAAGAGTCGCTTGACGCGGTACTCTTCGATACCAACACTTCATTAGAGGCAACCGAAGAGAAACGCGCTCAATTGGAGAAAGAACTGCAAGAAGCTTTAGTGCGAGAAGAGTCCTTCAAGAATAATGTGGTTCGTTTGCAAAAAGAATTAGAGCAGAGTCAAAGACGGGCCCAGGAGACAAAGACCCAACTAACGAATGCCGCTCGTGCGGCAGAGAATGAATTCAATCAAACAATCTCTAATTTAAAGGCATCAGCAGAAGAAACGGCAAAAAAGAATAGTGATGAAATGCAACAATTACGCTCCGCTTTAGAGAAACGTATGCAACAAGCTCTACAAGCTCTGCAAACAGCTAAAGACGAGGATATTGAAAAACAAGAAGAACGCTTGGAAGCTTTGCAAACACATTTGGAAAATCTAGTACAACAGCATGAAGAAGCTCTGATTAGAGCTGAAAATGAAAAACAACAGGCTTTACTAATGGGTACATACATCATTTTACTTTCCTCTTTTCTAGTTCCTTTTAAAGTTCTTTAGTCTTTTTACTGGTATAACTGTAGCTCATCGCGATAAACAAGCGATCGCGGAAAAATTAGATGCTGTCAAACGGGAATTAAAATCCGAACAGGAAGCTTTAGAAAGATCTAAGAGAGAACATAACGCACGAGACGAGAAGCAACGTAATGCAATCGCGCAACTTAAGGACGAAATGGTTATCATGCGAACCAAAGAGGAAGAACAAAAGTTAGTTAAAAATAAACGTAGCTATCCATAGCTCTCAGTGTTATCTAAACTGACTTCATTTCAGGGTTAAACTGGAAGAGTCCATACGAAAGCAAGAGATTCAAGCAAATGCTCTTAAAGAAGAACAAGACAATCTTTTACGTCTTAACGATGAGCTAAAAATGGATATTAGATTGAAAGAAGACAAGCTGGAGTCCTTGAACAATGAATTACAAGATACTTTGCGTAAAATTAAAGAAAGTAAGAGAAAAAATTTATTAGAAAATTGCAATAAATTATCAAATAATTATTTCAAGGTGAAGGCTACACTGAAGGTCTTCGCAAAGAATTAACTGATGCACGACGTCAATTGGCCGATAGCAATGTTGAACGCGATAAGTATGCCAACAGCAATAAAGAACTAAGGGATCACGTTAAAAGGGCTGAAAGTGCTAAGCGTGAACAAACTAGGGCAGTAGAGGAAGCTTTGCAAAAGATTAACAATTTAGAAGAAAACAAAAACACATTGGAAAACGAACGGACCCGTTTAACAACTATACTTAAAGAAACGGAAAATAATTTGACTAAAGCAACACAAGAGTTAAATACAACGAAGAGTTCTTTGCAAAAGACGCAAAAGGAGTTCGCTCAGAAAGACGAAGGTGGAAAAGAATTGCAAAATAAATTAATTGCCGAAACCGAGTTAAAAGAGCGAGCTCAACAAGAATTAAATCAGATTAAGAAACAGGTGCATTATTTATTATTAATCTATAAATTTAGTGAATCGTCATTTGTTCCATTTTAGTTGGCCGACTTAGAATCGAATCTTTGTGCAACAAGGCAAGAACTGGGACGAGCACGTTGTCATGCCAACCAAGAAGAGCATCGTTTTCACAATCGCGAACAGGAATTAGTGGCCCGTATTGAAGAAGCGCGAAGTCGTGAGAAACGTCTTGAAGATCAGAAGCATAATTTAGAAGTGTGCCTGGCCGACGCCACGCAGCAAATTCAAGAACTAAAAGCCCGCTTGGGCGGTGCGGAAGGACGCATAAGAGCGTTGGACGAGCAGCTAGCTTGCGCAGAGTTACATAAACGTGATGCGGAGCATAAGCTGCACTCAGTAATTCATACATTACGGCGTATTGCAGGAATACAAATGGACGGCAGCGTTAATTTATCGCATCGACTTGTAAGTCCCTCAAGACGTTATAGCCCGATACGTAGCGTAGCCGGAGCTGTAGCATCCAGTTGCCATGACTACGACGCTAGAAGCACTTCTAACTGTCCCGAAGGTCCAACTTTAGAAATAGATCCGGACCTTATACGTAAGGGTGTGCGTTGCCTAATGCATCAAGTAGCACAAATTGAACGAGAGAAAGACGACTTAAAAATGCAACTGTCTTCGGCGAGAAAGCAATTACAAGATGCGGCTGATCAGCAGCTAAAGTGTGAAACGAAAGTATCTAAACTTCAACAAATGATCCGACATCTGCAACAGGAGAAGGGCGATTTAGATACTGAACGCAGCATAAAAGTATCAGCTTTAAATGCTTTGGAGGAGAAGTTTAAACAAAAAACTAACGAATGCCAACAATTACATGAGAAGTTGAATCAAATCGAAATGCAATTGGCTTCGTGTAACGAAGAAAACTCTCAAAATGAAGATCGTTTGGAGAAATGTCGTCAACACGGAGCAAAGTTAGAAAATGATAAGAGACACCTTCAGGAAGAACTGGTTAAAACTGAAAGCAGAGCCACGAAATTAGACCTTCAACGTGTGGCCTTGGAAGGTGACATTACACGATTGCAAATGGCGCTACAAGAAAAAGAAAACAGCATACGACAGGCTCAAGAACGTTTAGATAATCAAAACAAAACGATGACCCAATTAGAAGATCGATGTTCTTCCTTGAAAGCATCCTTAGATCAAATGAAAGAACGTCTGCAAAAAGCGGCTGTTATTGAAACAGAGCTAAGAGGGGAATTGAAAACGGCCCATAAAGAATTGTCGGAACAAGGTCATTCATCGCAAACGAATGAAGACAAATTAAAACTTTTGCAAAAATCATTGCAAGCCGGAGAAAATGAGAAGCGCATTTTAAGTGAACGATTAGAAAAAGCCCAACAAAATTTAAATGAATTGAGGCGGGGTCAACAGGCTCAGCTGGATAGCGTTCAACGTTTACAAGATCAAATTAATGATCTTGAAGTGCAAAAATCAACCTTAGAATCTCAATTGCGTATTGCAAAATGGAGCCAAGAGACCGGTGCTAAAAACAATGGAAACGCCGTGAATGGTGACGAAGAAGAACTTGCAAAGCAATTAAAAACTTCGCAAAGAGAAAAATCCGAGCTAAGAAATACGCTTCAGGCATTACAAAATAAAGTGCGCCGCTTGGAAAATGAAAGAAAGAGCAAATTTTCCGGTAATAATTCTTATGATCGGTCCGAGAAGGAGGCCGGTGCAATCAGCTACGAAGGAGGAATTTATGATTCGAATCGTTTAACAAGTTCCAATGATAATTATCGCGCAATCGGCGATTCAGGTGCCGGCGACGGTGCTACCAACAACGGCTTATTCAGTTGCGGTCTTGATCATGCGGTTATTGAGCAAGAAAATCGAGACCTCAGACTAAAAGTCCGACGTTTGGAGACTTTATTAGCTGAAAAGGAATCTGAGTTAGCTCGTTGTAAGGCTCGCATACATGATAGCGCTAAATGTTTGGATACCGATAGATACCGTAATGCTCAAATGCACGCGGAAAAATTACTGGACGCGCGTGAACAATCTCATAGACAACAAGTCTTGAGATTGGAAAATCAGGTAGGCGGCTACATATTTACGAATCTAAGCAAAAGAAAAAGAAGTTAATAAACCATTTATCTACAATTATTTTATTAGATATCCATATTACGTGAACAATTAGCTCAAGAAGCTAAGCGCCGTCAACAGTATATATTGCGTAGTTCAAAAGCTAATAGAGAAATGCAACATTTACGTAATACCTTAGGCGATTCTTTGCGGCATGTATCCCAGCACCCATTGGATCCCAATCTCTTAGAAAGTGAAACAAGACGGTAAGTATTGAGAGTTTGTCGATAATGTTTTTTTATAAATTAAAATTTACGTTCGGAATTTTGTTTTTCAGATTAGATAATGTTGTATCAATGAGTCTGCCACCTTCTACTTGTCGAGACTACGAAAGAGATTGAAATTGCAAAATGAAAACGACTGCCTCTTAAACAAAATCCTATGCATTTATTTTAGAAATACTTGTCGTAAGCTCATTACTTGGACTAGGCAAATACACAGTACGCGTACATATACATATCTATATATACATATTGTGCCACAAAGGTCATGTCTTTATCTATCATGATTTGAAGTGAAAAATTTGGGAAAAACGGATATATCAATTTTACATATATTTTATGCCATACAATCAGTTTCTAAAAATTTGATTCGCTAGTGAATACCTTTTCTCAATAATAAAGAACGCTAGTCCAGCGTACTATTAACAAGTAGTTTGCCTTCATTCACCCGCCGATGGTTAGTTTGCAAATTTAGAATCGTTAAACTTTCCAAAATTTTGAATTTTAATTTTCCATGAGGGAGGAAATGTTTTATAATACTTGTCAGATCGTAGCCTGCGAGCAAATTCATTAAAAAAAAAAGGTATTGTTGGGTAGAACAATATTAAAAGACACTTATGACCGTTGCATTTCGTTGTATTCTTTCTTTTTTTAATGAGGCCGCACTAGAGTCTCAAATTTGGATGTTCTCCCACATCAATTTTTCGCTAATACACCAAATTTCAAAGAATTGTTAAAAATAGTTCCCATAAGCAGAATTTGAATTTGTTTAGTTTGTTTGAAAGGTATTTTCATACAGATGGTATTTTCATGAGATGTCCACAGAAATATTTTACATTGCTTAATATGGATGGAGTAGGTTTTTAAATCCAACTATATCTTAATTTTAAACATTTAACAAAGCTCTGTTAAAGCGTTTAAGGAGTTTTGTTAACAGAAATGGTAGGTGTCTTTGCTAGTTAAACGCGAATTTATCTTCACACGCTTCATTTTTTCTGACATTACATAAATATTGCATAGACAGACGGACATGTTTGAGTCAATTCAGAATTTGCTTCCAATAAACGATATAAAGCTCCTTTCTAGAGTTTGTAAACGTGTTGACAAAATGGATATACCACCGTTCGTCGACAGTTTTTTTTTACAGTTTTTTAGACTAATGGAATATATTCTTAGACCAAAAAGAAAACATTTAGCACTAGTAACTTAGGCTCCATTTTACTGAAGGAAATTAATAGTAAGCTTAGCAGTTTCTATGGATATTGTGTTCTATAGCTAATTTCAGGATGTTGACAGGATTAGTTGTTCCAAATGCAATACTTCTAATAAAGGAAAAGTTAAGTCACCAAAAATATGCTCCACTGTGGCGACAGTGGGTATAAAAAAAGAAATCATAAGAATACTTGTTTTGAAAAAAAAAAAATTATGATTTTATTCTTTCTATTTTTTTAACAAACGTTCTAAACATTGAACTACAGATTTCATGTTTGCTTTCTGGTTAGATAACTTCGCCACTTCACCAACAATAGCAAATAATGCTTTAGTTTTACCGCTTTGATATTGTTTCACTGCTTTTGATTGAGTTTCCATAGCTTGAAGGCAATAATTTTCTATTGTGTCGACATTGGAAATTTGTTGCAAGTCATAGATCATGATTAACTGCAATAAAGAGATATATATCGTATTACAAATTTCTATTATGCTTTTTTGAAACAATATCTTACTTCGTTCACATTTGTGTTGAGATGTTCGTGAGCTAATTCCATTAAACGTCTGGCAGAGTGTAGATTAATTTTTTCATTATATAAAGCCTTTAGTATGTCTTTTATGTGATTGTATGTTAAATTGCTAAAAATTGAAATCGTTTAATATATTTCTATGAATCACAATAATAATTACTTACCATTCTTCAATATTAATATTGATTTTATTGCAATACGTCATCAAATCATTAATAAGAAAATTTGTTATCATTTTTTTCGGTATATCTGGAAAATTCTTAACAATATTTTGAAAATGTTCCAATAGCAACGGTTCATTCTAAAATATAATACCAAGATTTTGTTAGATGTAGCACATAATAATACGATATCCCAATAAGATTGTATTATATATATGCATCGTTTTGCCATAACGATTTCAATATTCAAAATCTCAAAAATGTTCTACTTAACATTAAAAGTATTTTAAAGCTTAATGATCTTATTATCTAAATTGTTGAACATTATTATATTTGGAATATAGGAATTGGGCGGTTAAGCATATACATAAATGGTAATCTTCTTTGGGACTCCCGACAATGCCGAATAATTTCGGCAAAGAAATAAAACTTAGCATTTGGGGTTTAATAAGTAATAAGATAATGCGAACTTCTGTTAGTACCAATTCGATAAGAAATAAAAAATCTGAACTAGTTGTTCTTAGAGTTAGAAATAGAGACGATCGCTTGAAATATGCATGTGAAAATATGGATAGACTTTGCTTTCACATTGCTCTTAAATTTATCCAGATCTTTTAGACGCCACGTTTCGATTCAAAAATTGAGAGTATATATTTTTGAATACTTTGGACCAGATTTTGTCCATCAAAAAAGTGAGCAAAATAAAATTTAATCGATGGTTTGTCCGCAGTGACCTTTCAAAGTTTGCTTATATATATATATATTATAAAAATTTATAAATATTTAACATAAACAACACATCGTTGGAAAGGCTATTAATAGAGGATTCACGCTGTGCTGGTTTCAATTTTTCACAGGGCATGGTTTGTCCACAGTAGTTAAGCAATCTTTCACTTTATCAACCTCATTTATGACAATGTAAAAATGTTGTGCTTTCAGATATTAATTAGTTTACATAAAGATGTGTTTTGTTTATATTTTGTAAAAAAATTCTCCAAAAGTTCCATTTTATCTATATTTTGACTTAAATCCGAGACCTAATTTAACCGAATTCTGTTAACGATTTAACAGAGCTCCCTAAACAATGTTGGTTTAGGTCTTTGCTAATTATATTTAAATACGACTTCCCACCCAATTTAGCCTTGGCTAAACGCCTCTGGCTATAAATTTTTTGTTTGTTATACAAATTCTGCATTATTAATTTCTATACCTAATCTTTATGTAGTTGCAGTTTCCATTAAAGTTTCAAATTCTTACCACTAATATTATACCCGTTTCCGTATTAAGTTTGTAAGTCTCTATTAGATCCTTCCGTGTTTGCTCTGGTAATTCGGGCAGTTCTTTAGCTATGAGCGGCACACATATACCGCAGGTGTGATTTTCCCCATCCAATTGTATATCCTTCATATTTAAACGTAGAGGTGGCAAATTTGGTTCGGGCATAAATCGATAGTCTTGTAATACTTCCTTGTCGCGCATAGTTAAAGTGCGACGTTTTTCAGCATCCCAAGAACGAGTCTCATTGTATACATCCCCACCTGCGGCTACAATTTCGAGTTGACGTTGTATTTCATAAGAAACCGCTTGAGATATACTACGTACTGAACCGATATTTTTGACTTCGGTACGAACTCCCAAGGGTTGATCTGGTTCATGTACAGATATATTAGCATCTACTCGTAGGGCACCTTCCTCCATTTTGCAGGAACAAGTATTTAAACGACGCATTATTAATATTAATTCCTTGACAAGAGAAGCTGCCTCTTCGCCTGTTTCCAAGTCGGGCGCAAAAACTAATTCCATTAATGGTAACCCAGCACGATTCAAATCGATTAGACTTCTAAAAATTATTTAATTGGAGCAAATTACTACTGATAGTTCCTTGTTTACATAAAAAAAAAAAAAAAAAAATCAAACCTTTTCAATTCTTCATCATGTAAGGATTTTCCACTGTCTTGCTCCAATTGCAGTTGCAATAAACGAACGGTTTTGTAATAAATTTTTTTTCCAGGCACTATAACTGGGAACGTGATTTGTCCATTATTAGCTAAAGCAGACCGTTGTTGTGTAATTTGGTAACCGTTCTATATGAAATTGGAATTATTTTAAAATTCTTATTCACATTTTATGCCCTTGTACCGGCAAATCAGCATAAAAGTAATGTTTTCTATCAAACATAGAGACTTCATTTACTTGACAATTCAAAGCCAAAGCAGTTTTAATACCCGATTCGACACATTTGCGATTTAAAACCTTTAACAGACATTTAATGGTTAGTACTTGCAAATTCTTCTCTGTTTCTACTCACTGGTAAAGTTCCAGGTAAAGAAGCATCAAAATAAGATACTGCTGTATTAACAGGTAAGCCATATTTTGTAGGACTCTCGGAAAATAATTTTGATTCACTCGATATTTGTGCATGCACTTCCAATCCTACCACAGTTTTCCATTTGCTTCAAATAATACAAAAAAGAAACACACACAGATATTATATGCATATACATATTTCTAAACATAAAATTCACCGTTTCGGAAGTTTATTTGTTTGCACTTGTGTGAAAGTTTTTATATTTGGCCGATCTAAAGTAAATATTTTCCTCAACATTTTCAATTTTTTTTTTTTTTTTTTTGGTATGTTGAAGCTGAAATTGGAAAACATATAAGAAAAAACATAAAACAGCTGGGATATTTTTTGCTCTGGCAGTAATGATAAAGATTCATAAAGCAACACGTGTCCTATCGTATCGCATCGTATACCTTCAGTAAAATAATCTTATTCAGACATTATTTTTCATCTAGAGGACGATCAGGTCTAAAGAAGTTTCTCATTCAAGTCACTTTGAATATTCGATACCTACACATGGTATATCTCTGCTGTTGTGGGGCTTTATAAGTAGATTTGGGAAATAAAGAAGAAGTAAATTTCTAAACGATGTTTTCTCTCAAAGGAACTTTTTCATTAACAATTGAAAGCGGGTAATTGCTTAAAGAAAAAGAATTAATTATTTTTAATTTTCTAATTATTATATAAATCCGATGTTTTAATAAGTAGTCTTTGTATACATTGCAATGATTTATATTAGAGCCTTTACACCGCCAGGGTTCATATGATTATTTTTCCTTTTACTTATATATTTGGGTCTAGCTAATGCAATGCCCGGTAGTTTTCGAGCACGCCCATGTTTTCATATAAGTACCTCAGTATACTTTCATTGCTAATAAAATGAAGTTGACTAAATTAATATTAAACCCCATTCCCTTTTCCACAGACCGATTAGTTGCTAGCCCTTCATTTCCACCTCGATTTGAACCTCTTCTTTTGACATAATGCGGAGAAAGTCGAAAGAAAACGTGAAGAAAAATTAAGAAATAATGCGTTACTTTTTCGCGACTTGACTAATTATAACAAAAAAAGGAAAATTCAAATTAAGTTTTATATTAATATTTACACAAGGGTAAATAAGATTGCTAAGTCAAGAAATTTTTCAAAAACTTAAGCCTTTAGGATACAGTAAAAATGAGTTTAAACTGTGTTGGATCTAAAGGTAAAAAAAAACCTATATTAGTCCCTAAGATTATATGTATGAGATTAAGTAAGCTGCCTAACAAATTTTATGTTATCTAATGTGTCCCTTGGGTTGCCACTCTTTTCAAATTTAAAAAAAACGGAAGAGATAGTAACTACTCGTAATGTAGAATACATTTCGTAAGCGGAAGATATAAACATAAGTTAATACTTCATTCTCTTCGCAGTTAAATTCGGCAAATTGATTTCAATCAGTGTATAGAGAGCAGAAATCGATCTTATATTTTATATATTATTTGAACTCAGAAAACTATATTAACTTATGTGGGAAAAAAAAACATCGCACGTAATGTACCCTACATATAAGTGACGTAACGTAATGTAAATGTAACTAATGTGTATTGTCTGCAACGGCGAATATGGCGTTCTCACTTGTTTGTCATTATTTACGTATATGAAGATAATTGGTTATTAATTTTTCGAGAAAACCAAATAATAATGAAATGAACGATTTTGTCTGCTGTTTCAAGAGTGGAACTTAAAATTGCGAAAAAGAATATTACACATACACGCGCGTCTGTGGGGAAGGCTACATATACGTAGGAGCCAGTCCATCTGAATGTGCTGATGGTGACGGATGGAACAATGAAACAAGAGGAGGTAAGCGCAGTTAGAAGAAAATATGAATAGAAATGCAAATAAATAAAAGCGAAGCAAGTTGGTTGATCAATTGTCAGAAATGAAGAATGGGTGACAAATCAAACAGCTGGCTGGTAACGATATATGAAGGCAAAGTTAAGGCAGAATACAATTCAAAAATATATTAAGTAATTGATAAAGAAATTGTAAAGGTTTTAATGCAGGTTAGAAGCAGTTTAGCAGCAGAAGACAAAGGAGCAGCCGAAGACCTAGCGGCAGCAGCCAATTCGAAAAGGAATTTGATCACGTACCTTCCAACAACTTACTATTTATTAAGTTGTTGGTGTCATATACCGATCCAACCTATCTAAACAAAACCATTGCAAACGACAATCTCTACTAGACACTATAGTTAATTTCTTCGATACATTGCTGCTGCGAAAAGTATGGATTTGGAGAAAATTTTTTGTGCTTTGGAGTCTAATCAAAACTACGAATATGAAGAAGCGAAAAGAAAATTGATAGAGGTTTTCACACAAAGTAAGCTACATTGAAAATATTAAATTTTTTTTTAGTTTTTAAATGTAATATTGCTCTTTCAGGTAGAGAGCAGTGGCTTGTCCACTATATGATGGAGTATTACTTGAAGACTGGCTCCGCGCGAATAATTGAGGTCTTGGTCAAAGTTCAGACACCACATGACGGCTATATATTTGATCGTTTAACAGAGTGGTTGAAAGCAGCTTCTCATCGGATAAAAGCGTTAAATTTGTTTTGTTTTGTGGTGCGTAAGCATCCAACTTGGTTATTTAAGGTGGAAAAGCATCGCTTAATTAAAGATATGCTCCATTGGCTGAAACAATTGGAGGTAATTTGGTCATTGCCTTTAAATCGAATATTTGGAAATTTGTTATGTTTCTTATAGATTGAGAAAGAAATTGTTCCTTTGATGAGCGCGTTGTTGGCCATAATTACTCTGTTACCCATTATACCGAACTTGGTGCCGAATTTTCTAAATGATCTATTCGGAGTTTTCGCACATTTGGCTTCATGGAATAGCCAAAATACGAATCGTTTATCAGAAGATAAGCTGGTGCATCTTCAGTTGGGCTTGCAAATGCTATTTCATCGCCTCTATGGAATGTTTCCGTGCAATTTCATGTCATACTTGACTGAATTTACTAAACGAGAAAAAGGAGCTATTTTCCAGCATACAATTAAACCTTTGTTGGAAACGGTTCGTTTACATCCGATGCTGATTACTGCTACGCCTGAAAGTGAGGTCAATTCAGAGCGTTGGAAAGAAATACAGCCACATGATGTAGTCGTAGAATGCATGCGTCTTTCGCTGCCTTTTAAATATCATGACATTTCTACTACAAAAGCCGAAACTAGCTCTTGCTGTGCCATCAGTAACAAAGCTGCGATTTTAAATTCAGCAAGTTCTTATCATCAGACCCTTACGCACCATCAATTTAGAGAATCACAGCAGCAACGATTACCTGCTAGTGGCAATAGTACCGCTTTATGGAGTCCTTACCATGAAATTCTTAATTCTAGCCACACACCGTTAACTCCTACTCCAACACCATATATTATGCCATTACCATCGTCTGCTTCAACAGCGGCGAATCAAACAAATTTGAGTGTAAGCGGCTGTTCGCCACCCGAAGCAGCAGTTGAAGCCACGCCAGAGACCACACCGCTAAAGGATAACAGAGATATTAAACGCAGTAGTATTGGAAACGCTTCGGGTACAACCAATCCTTTAGCCGTAAGAGCTATCTTCGTTACCAGTCAGCCTTCTTCACCGCTCCGTACCAAAGATTCTTCGCATCAACAGCAATTTTTTCAGCAACGGTTCAATTTTCCTGATGTAGTTCAATCTAATGCAACAATGTATGTTGAGCAGGAGTTAAATACTCGCATAATTACTCGAGTAACCAGCAATGACAGGCGCATGCAACAAATTGTGCAAGATCGGAATCAATCCCAGAGTCCTTTTCAAACCATTGAAGCTCAAGCTGCAAAGATGGGATTTGGAACACCGCCCGAAGTGTGTCAAACACCCGAAGTAGACGGTGTGTCTTCAAATCGTTTCTATCAGCCCTTTTTTACACCTTTATCGGATTTAACATCTACTTCTACCCCAACCCCTACGCCAACTCCCAATACAACACCTTCATTATTATTCCCAGAGGTAAAGGTTCCCATCTGTGATGATTGCAATGAAACTGATCAATCGCTATGCACTAAGGGTGGACTTCAAATGCCAACTAGCCGCTCAATGCAGTTGTTGGCTAAAGGTATTAAAAGACGCAATCGCATGACTAGTTACTGTTATAATGAGAAGAGTAATGAAAAAGTCGGTATAAACGGAACTAATGACTGCTCTGGTTTCACTTATAAAGTGCGGAGAACAAAATCTTGTTCGTCACTGTATTTGCACCCATCTAACTCTTGCTGCTCAGATGACGATTCCGATTTAGATGAAGATCAATCCATTGGCCATAGGCCATTACAAAAAAGCCATAAAATGATGGCTATTGCTAGTGCTTTTAAAACGGTCGCTACAAATTTAAAGAAAGAAATATCGCTTGCAAAAAAACCACTCATGGATAAATACACACAAACATTGGAGGCGGTGCCCGTTGCAAATCATGAAAATTCTCTTTTACAAATGCTAATTGAAAGCAAAGATTATCGTAGTGCCTTTGAGGCTTCACGTCAAACTCCTAATGAAATACTTGAGCAATTCATTGCTCGGGGACTTAGGAATAATACTGGGGATCGTTCCGATCAAGAGCAATTCCAACTGCTGTGTTTGCAGTTGCAATACGAACGTTATCGTCGCGAAATTCATGCGGAACGAAATCGCCGTTTATTGGGTCGCAGTCGCGATAAACGTAGTTTGGAAATGGAACGAGATCGTCTGCGAGAACAACTTAAAGATTTCGAAGCAAAAAATCTAGAGCTTAGTCTTCAGTTAGACAAAACCAAAAAAATTACCAATGAGCGGGAGCGCGAATATCAAGATGAGTTGGAAGCCCTGAAAGTCAATTATCAGAATGAGTTGGAAAAAAATCGTTGCCTTCGGCAAGCAAATGATAATTTGCAAGCGCGTCTCAGCGAAGAATTAACTCAGCGTAAAGATGTTAACTATGAACTAGAAGCATTAAGAGGTCAGGTATTTAGTCTCACCACTGAGCTGCAACATGCACAGCAGCAGGCCGAGATGGGGCTTAAATGCAAGCAAGACTTGGCTCGCTTGGAGGCTGAAATGATCATTATGGGCGAAGTTCAAATCAAATGCAGAGATCGTTTGGCGGAAATGGACAATCTTAGAGTCCGAGATAAAGAGTTGCAGTCACTGCAGGAAGCTTATAATGTAGAATTTAAAGGTTAGTATGAAAAACTTTGTTAAATACAAACTTATAATGGAATTTCGTTGTAATCATTTAGAATTAAAGCACACCTTAGATGATAAAAGTTCACAGCTGGATAGTGCTCGTCATAGACTGCAAGAGTTACAAACTCAGCTAGTGAACAATGAAAAAGTGATAACTGAGCAAAAGCGCTTATTAAAAGCTGTTAAAGATGAATATGAGGAGAAATTTAAAGTACGTCAAAATATGCTCTAGTTTCTTAGATTTTTCAAAATGCATATTTTATTTTAGGCATTGAATAAAAAATATGAAATTCAAAAAACCATTGTTATGCAAATTGAGGAGAAATTTGTAATGTCCTTAAATAAACCCACAATGTTCGCGAGTGTCAATGCTAGCTGCTCACCAGATACAGATAAAACTGGTAAAATTAACTTATTTGCTTGAATAATAATTGAACATTAATGAAATTACTTTTAGATGTAGCCTCGTCCGTAGAACGTAATTCTCCTCTTTCAACTTCGTTGGCATCGAGTGAAAGCCTCTCAACTAGTTTGAGATCTTCCGAGTTGAGGAACCTGCAGCAACTGGTAGAAACTCCCATATCCGAAATGACTGCCACGTCCACCTCAACTACTACTACGAACTGCAGTACTAGTATTAGTGTTTTAGGCGTGAGTACCGGTGTAAATATCACAGAAGGTGAAAGGGTTCCTGCATTAGATTTGGCTTCATCTGCCAATACCGTGTCCAACATTATGAACACTATACGGGATTCTGGTCAACTAAATTCACCTGAGATATCCGCCGTCTCCTCATCCTGCGTAGACCGTACTACTAGTACTTTGTTAGCAACCAATGCTACTTCTTTAACGGCCACTACTTCTACTCTGACGCACATGCATCCACATTTGCACTTGCAGAAACAACAAACCGAAACAACTCAACAACGACGTTAAAAAAAAGCACATATATTTCCTTTCTAAATCGAATACAATGTATGGGGAACGCAAAAGCAATGTTGGTTAACGCGAGAGACAAAGCAAAGTAAAAAGATAACAAATTGTTGTTTAAGTTCTTCTTATACATCTCATAAAGAATGTAATAAGAGAAGTGCCCATCGGAGACCTTGTGAAGTAAATAAATAATTTGTAAGAAGAAATGTCAATGTCCGTCTAAGAGTCTGTACATCTTTGAATATAACTGTTATTCATTAAAGTTCATTAAACTTAGTTTTAAAAGAGTTCTCTTCCTCTACGATTAAAAACTAACCTATAAGCACGATCAATAAATCGATATAAGCCTATAAAGACTTTAAAGAAAGAAAAACTTTCTTTTGATGGGTCGAGTAAAACGAACGAAAACGCGAGAGCAATGCTGCTAATGAGAATCAAAATGACAGAAAAAAAAAAAAAGAAACGTAAATAACAGCAAGGCTGCCAAAAAAAAGAAATAATAAGAAAAGGAACTAGGAAAATAATGTCTTAACAAATGTTTTCTTTTATAATAAATAACAAAATT